CGATGAGCTTGTCGTAGTCAATGCCCTTCGCGCTGCTGGTCTGCACCATCCACGGGTCCACAAAGTCCTCCTCGGGCCCCGCGGTGTCACCTCCAGAGCCTGGGGGGCAGCCAGCCTTGTAGTCTTCACCCACTGCCGCTTTGTAGCAGGCCTTCAAAGTCAGCAGGATCTTCTCTGCAGCGTCGATTTCATCCTGAAGGGAGGACAGAAATAGAGGCGGGCTGAGAACACGCGTAGTGGCTGGCCTTGCCAAATGTCTATTGTCATGGATCAAACTGTGGCTCCCGGCCTACGCACCGGACCCCTAACCCCGTGGACAGGCGCCTTGGGGGTGCAAGGGTCCAGCGTCCAGCTGCTCACCAAAGGCCAGGGGTTCAAACTCATTGGCAGCTCTGCAAGAGAAAGATGTGGCGTGTTTCCATAAAGATTTCCAGACTTGGAAACCTATGGGGCAGTTCTTGAATGCTCTATCGGGTCCCTGACCTGGAATCCACTGGACAACACACAGCAGCCACACACACACACAGTGGTGGCTGTCACCAGGTTTGGGTACAGGGCCTTCCTTGTTATGTTAATGAGGTCATTTCAGAGTCCTTGAGAAAGACAGAGAGCAGAGAAGACACAGATAAAACCCAAACCCACCGCCTCGATGCGGACTTGCAGTCAGCCTCTAGGGAGTCTCTATGGGAGCTGACAGCCTTAACTTTCTCTTGTGGAGCGACGGGCGGGTTTGAACAGTCCACCTTGCTGTTAGCCGTCCAGTGGTTACCCGATGGCTCCATGAGGACCGAGCAAGGGGAGGACACCAGGGCCGGGCCGTGAGGAAGCGAGGCGCCGACAGGCCCTGACGCCTGTCTGGGATCGAACGCAGCACCACCAGCCCAACTGCTAGGCTGCTCCGGAAGGGTGGCCCTCAGCAGCCAGAGCCTGGCTGTGCCTCAGGACAGCACGTGGGCCTGCTGGTGCCGCTGAGGAGTTGATTCCGACTCAGAACACCCTCATGGCTGAACAGAACCGACCCGCAGGGTCTCCTAGGCTTCAATCTTTCTGGAGGCAGGTTGCTGGGTGGGTGTGAACCTGACGGGCCGGATCTGATAGGCACCATCACCTCCCTGGACAGGACAGTGAGGAATGGTGGAAAGCCGTTTGTCTGCACCATGCTCACTACCAGGTCTCTCAGCCAGGGGGTGGGGGAGAACGCCTGCTCTGAGGGGAGCCCTTAAGACTCCATATGGACACAGGTCAAAGCCGTGCTTAAGAGTGGGGTCAAAATGCCTGTGGTGGTGGGGACAGAGGTGTAGAAAGGTCTCCGCAGGGTGACACAGGTGCCCGAGTGGGGGCACCACCACGTACCGCTGGCACGCTCCTGGCCTTCAGGCCTTCCAGAGACTTCTCTTGAGCAGCGATGCTGCTGAACAGCTCTGCTGGGGATGCCATTTTCCGGGGCCTGCGCTCACAGCGGGCGAGGGCAGCGGCCGGCTTGCTCAGTGGTGGAGACGTCACTGCCAGGGAGGGAGAGACAAAGAGACTGGTCACCAGCTGCTTCTCCTGGTGGCCCTGGCACCCTTCTTTTCTCCCCCAAGAAGGGTGGCAGGTGAGCTGTCTGAAGGGGACTGTGCAGAAGTGACACTAACCAGCAGAAACCCGAGGCTCTGGGAGGGGAGGAATGAGTGGCAGTGGTGATGAGGGAGGAGGTGCTGTGACTTCCTGACTTCCGGGAGAGGTCCGGCCCAGCTGAGACCCAGCTGCGTCTGCAGAGGTGGCCCATGCCTGCTGCTCCCCTCCCACCCAGGCTGGCACTCGGGTTTGCTTAGGGGAGGAAGGTGCCCGGATGGAGCAGATTGCTGGCAGCTCCTTATCTGAATTGCCATGGGGGACACATCGCCAGGGCTTGAGTCCCAGGATCCCCACGCTGCTCCAGCGCCGGCCACCTGCTCGGTTCCCAAGCCAGTGCGACCTTATCGCTTCTGGGCATCTGCTCCCTCCTAGATGCCACCTTACTGAATGGCCCTGAAGGTGCTCGAAAGGTGTCCCCACAGTCATTAGTAATGCGGGTGTTTTACAAAGGGTGGGAGCACAAGGGTGGGCCCCCAAAGAGAAGCAACAGGGTGGTAGGCACCCTGCCCAAAGTTACTGTCACCCACTGGGGTCTGAAGCCAGGGACTCGGCAGCGGGCCTGTGTGGTCTGGTCGCCGTCTCCCCTCCTGCCTCCACTCTGGTCCCGATGCTGCTTCCTCCGGAGAGCCCCCAGGACTCTCTCTAACATGGCCCTGACTCGGCCTGCTGTGCGCTGTACGGCCCTGCTGAGGCGGGGCCCAAGTGGTCGAGGTGTCCCCACTTTGAAAGGAGGGGCACACGCTACATTTCAGAGAGATCATTGGCCATAAAACAGACGGGTGCCCACCAGACCTGGGTCCTTGGCAGTGAGCACTGAGGGGTTTGGGCGGTGACCAGCAGAGAGCGAGATCAGAGAAGGGGAAGCTACATGTCACGCAGCACTTGGTGTGGGCCAGCCACACCCCTTTCTGAGTGCAGCTTCCTTATCTGCAGTGGCCCCACCTGGAACCACTTCTCTGCCGCTGGGCTGAGAGGAGGCCTGGTGCATGTGGTCAACAGGGAGGCCAGACAGAAACCCTCTTCACGGGGCGTACAAAGACCTAACTATGTCAGACGAACTTGTTTCTCTTCTGCTAGGGTCCTGGAGGCTGGCTACCAGCCCCACTGTTGGCAACCTTGACCTACGATTAAGGCTGTTCAGCAACCCTGGGCACCTTCTGCACACCAGGAATCCCCAGACAGGGTGGCTTTGCTCATCTTACAGATGAGTAAACTGAGGCACCCTGCCACTGCCCTGGATTCTGACGTACAGCCACCCTACAGTTGTGCTGCCCCACGGGTTTCCCAGGCTGCGAATCTCTACGGAAGGAGAATGCTTCAGTTTTCTCCCATAGAGCCGCTGACCTCGCCTAACCCACGGTGCCACCAGAGCTCCTTACACGAAGGAGGCAGAGGTTCCAAACCTGTCCCGGGTAACACAGACGGCAGCGAGAGGCCAGCGCCACGACGGGCCCCCAGAGCCACACGAAGCCATTCCCCTACCCGTGACCGCCTCACAACTCACAGCTGGGGATGATGAGAGGCTAACTTGCAGGACTGTGGCGAGGATTAAGCATGAGCAATACGAGTGACTAGTGCAGGACAGCACAGGTGTGTGGTTCCTGCCCTGGTGGCGTAGTGGTTCCGTGCGGGCTGGCAGACTGAACGGCAGCTGCTGCTGGGGAGAAGGCGGAGGCTTTCTCCTGGTGTAAGGAGTTACAGCGGGGCGACCCCCAGGGCCAGTTCTGCCGGGTCCTGCAGGCCCGCACAGCCTCTCTTCCGCGTGGAGGTGTCCTCCACGGCTGTCTCTCTTCTTTAGGCGCCTACAGCCTCTCTTCCGCGTGGAGGTGTCCTCCACGGCTGTCTCTCTTCTTTAGGCGCCTCTGCATGCCCAGCTGAGCTTAGGACCCACGCACACTCACCTGCGGTCAGGTTTCTTTTGATTTATCCCTTTGCTAGTCAGTCCCTGTCCCTGCCCCCACCCCCCACCAGTCTCAGAATGGGAAGTGTGGTAAGGTCGCTGATGTCCACAGCACCCAGTCTTGAGGGGGGGGCGGAGGCCTGCCAGAGAGCCAGGAGGAGGAAGCACTTCTGACCAGCGCTGTAGTGTGTGTGGGGGGGTGGGTGGGCACGCAGCGCGTCCATTTCTCTAGAAGTCTGTGCCCATTCCAACCAACAAGCAAAGCAGTGAAAACCCGAGCCTTGGTGGCCAGGAGCCAGGCATGGGGCCAAATGCTCTGCCCACGGCCTCCCCTCCACCCTGGAGGGTGGGCTGGGCGGGTGTGCTCAGCACCTGCAGGTGAGGCAGACCTGCCACAGAGCTGCTGTGGAAGCCGCTCTGGGGGTCATGTGTGCAGAGTCCCAGCTCCTGCCCCCAACCATCTTTCCTGACCTTGCAACCCTTGGGGCAAGCTGGCCCCCCTCTCCTTAGTGATGCCCTGAGCTTCCTGCCAGTGGCTTTGTCAGAGCAGGGAGGAAATGCCCTTGGAAATGCCTAGAGGTCTAGGAAGAGGGACTGCTCGAGCCGTGGCTGCCTCAACTGTCCCACAGCGAGGACCACTCTGGGGGTGGGGGAACCTTGGATCTCTGCAGTATTTGGTCTCTGACTAGTCACGCAAAATGACCAAAGCAGGCAGCTGTTTGTGAAACAAGGAATAAGTGTCCTTCTCTTACAACAAAACAGAAGACAAACCAAACCCAAGCCCTGCATCTCTAAACCCTGTGATCACACTGGAGCTGAGGCACCAACACTCAAAACCAAACGAACCTGCCACTGGCTGACTGTGACTCACCCTGACCCTCTAGGACAGGGGAACACTGCCCCGTGGGTGTCTGAGACTGGAACTCTTAATGGGGGCAGAGAGCCCACCTTCCTCCTGAGGATCAGCTGGTGGTTTCAAACTGATGACTTTGCAGCTGTGAGCCCAAGTTGTAACTACTACGCCACCAGGGAACCTGGAGAAGAGGCACAGACAGGCGGAGGGGGTGGGGGCCTAAGTCACTCCCTGCTCTCAGGTTCCCCAGAGGTGCTGTGTGTGAGATGTTTGCACTTCAGGAGTGGTCAGAGGTAGTATAGATCTAGTAACTTCCTCATTCCATAGCAGGGACCAGGCTGCCAAATTTATTACACCAGAGCCCCCCCCACCCCACCCCACCATCTAGTCCACAACTTCCTTTTCTTCTTTGTGAAGGAGCTTTGAAGTGACTCACACCAACAGCTGTGGGCTGCTCTGGGCTTGGTTCTAAGCAGTGTGGGGTCTGAGCACCCATAAGGCTAAGGATCCTGGTCTTAGGTCGAACACAGGGCTTTTGGATCTGTGTTAAGCAAAGTCGCACCACCTAGTCAACAATGGCCCTCATCGGAACCAATGACCATGAGGCGACGACACTCTCGGCAGAAGTGAATCTACAATTTCCTTCAAACACAAACAGTGAGCGTGTGAAAGGAAGCAGGCCACAGCACACCATCCCACAAGCAGAAAAAGGCTCTTATAAATGATTTCCTAGCCCTCCTCATGAAGAACTCCCCTCTTGGGCTTACTTTGAAAGGCCCCACCGTTGAAAAAGAGTGACAGGTAGCCTGGAGACAGTTTGGGGGGTGAGGAGTGGAAAGAATAACAAACGGCCCGACAGGACAAGCTGGCCCCAGTCAGGGCTATGCCCACATCATCTCACAGTGAAAGCCAGACTGTCCAGATTCTGTAGTTTGGAGCAAGTGTAGCAATCAGACAAGTGATTATCTGAAGCAGCCGGGAAGAGTGGGCATGCAGATTAGTTTCCAGATGCCTGGGTTACCTACCACCTGGAGGGGAAACCCTGCTTTTTCACATCCTGGCTCTAGGGCAGGGATGGGGA